AAATATGTTTCAATTGTAAAAAAAAAAAAAAAGGGTGGAAATCAGTTTACCAATTCAACCAAAAGATGGAAAATGGGTCGGGGCGGGGCCCGGGGGTTGGGTGGAAAAGGTTTTGTCAAGAAAATTTTTGTTATCAAACATCAAAAAAGTTGGAAGTTGGATAATTTCCAAGTTCCATGAAAAATATGTTGAATCAAATATGTCCTAAGTGATTTGGTCATTTTTGGAAAGTACATCCGTGGATACACGAGATCAAAAATAGATCAATTTGTCATGAAATATATCTTCAATATGGATAAAACGTGATTGTTTCATAGCTAGTTACAACATGATCACTCTCTTCTTGCAACAAAGCAACTTGAAAGAAAAAACAAGACAAAGAAAAGCTTACAATTGTTGTTCGTCATAAAGAGATGGCCCAGAAAAAAATCATGTATGGATCTTTGGAAAGTATGCAAAACCACATAGCTTTAAGAATATAATCATGAACAAATTTAATTGTCAAAATAGGCGTGGATGACTATAATGCTTATTAGGAATACATTTTGTGGGTTGACAAAAAAAAAAAAAGTGCAAGGAAGAAAAAATTTCTTGGTGATAGATAATTGTCCAGCCCATCCAAAAAATATTGAAGGATTACAAATGTTGATTATATTTTTTGCCACCCAACATTACATAAAAAAATCCAATCCCGTAATGTGGGGATACAAGCAGAGTGACAGAATTCTACAACAAATCTTGGTATTCTAACCCACACAGACCTCATGTCAACAAAGGGTTTGACTTTTGGACTTGCTGTGAATCACTGTAACCCTGGACGAATCATATAGTCAGTATAACACTTTCTAATGCAGAGGTTCACCATGAAGGTGCAACTGCAAAGCATACTTATGCTTCTACTCAGATCTTACTCCATATCTTTTAAACCTATAATTATCTCATACTTTCTAAAACCAAGAAAGAATTGAAAAGTTTAGAAGAGCATGATTAGAACACACTGAAATTTTATTTCTGAATTTTGATGCCTTACAATGAAGAAGAGCTTCCCTTTATATAAAGGAAGAAGAGCATAACAAACAAACTAGACTCATGCGTTTTTCCGACAAGATAGACACGCGGCATTATTTTACACACATAGTACAGACTTTTGTGACTCGGCTTATCTTTCTTTTATAAATAAAGATTCTTATCACAATAATATTAACAAACGGACAAATGACTCCACAAATAGACAAACAACTTTTAAATAAAGAAAACTTTAACTTTAATAAAGCAGGTCTTGTTTTAATAAAGTAAATCATATCATGATTTGTCATGGAGTGTCCAAATTCATTAAATCTTCTGGTCGTAGAGGCAAATCATGTTGATTCAGCCATGGTTCTTGAGTGTATGTGGGTTCTTTGTCATGTGTTTGTAAAAGTTTCATAAATTCTGGTTCATCAATTTCATATGGATCCTGTGAATCTTGTAACATATTGTCATTGAGCTGAGGAAATGGTTCATTTTGTCGTGTTCTTGTTCATGTTTCCATTGTTTTTTTCTTCATTTTTCTCATGGATTGCTTGATTAATATCTGGATGTTTCTCCAAGACTTTGTGTAGGTCTTCCATTATACAACTGTCCCCATTGATAATCAAATGCATAATCATACTCAGGGTCACTTACTGCATAAAATTTTTGAAGATGCTTATCTTGGAACTTCTGGATATCATTTGCAATTCTTTGAGTATATTTCACTGGCAAAGCTTCCCATGGAGCATCATCTTTATAATCTGATCAATTTGTGGAGGAATAGTTTGATTGATTTCCTCCATTAATTCTTCAAATTCATTAGCATATCGTTCCCAATTTTGATGCATGTTGAATGGTTGAATTGTATACTCCTTAACATGGAAAAAATGAGCATACGTTTCTGTTTCACTGAAATATCATTGTCTTTGAAAAATTAAAGTCACATAGACATTATTTTTAAAAGTTCTGAGATCTTTAAATTTCAAAGAAAATGCTTGAAATATTTTTATTTAGTGAGAGATTGGATATAACCATTCAAAAAACTTTGGTGCAAAATAATCAATGGTTCTAAACGGAAAATCCAAGTTCATTTGACAGAATGCATCAAGTGCATCTGAAGCATTAAAAGAAATTTCAATTTGCCAAAATTCTAAAAGATACCACAAAAAATAAAGTGTTTCTTTTGAAAATTTCAGTGCAATGTGTTTGTATCAAAACGAAAAAGTGTAAAGAATTGATAGTTTGGATGAAATCCAAGACCACCAAGTGTTTCAATTCTAGTATGTCTAATCACAATAGATTGGTATTTGAGCATAAGATCTTTGGATTTGGTTTTGAGAGTTTTGGTTCTTATAAGCTCATTGATTTCAGGGGGAAAAAGATCTAAGCAAGTAAAAGAATTTGAACATTTTGAACTCATCATATAAATGATTGGAATTGAGGGAAGAATGATTTGAGAAATTTTTGGTTTGGAAATAAAATCTGGTAGGAGGTTGTGTTTTCCTTTGATATGTTTGACATCAAAGTCGAAGTTTGAAAACCATTCTAAAGTTGTGAATTTGAAATTTGTTTTCTCTTTAAAAAAAAAATCTTCGGAAAAGCTGTCATATCCATTTCTACCAAGAATTTGTTTCCAATGTGATGGAACTGGAATTTCTCAATTCCTCTTTTTGCTGCAAGTATCTCTTTGAAAGTAGAATGATAATGCTTCTCCGATTCTGTGAATAATCCACTTTTGTATCCACAAATTCGTTTCTTTCCATCATTTTCTTCAAGTAATACTGCTGCCCAAAAACAATCACTTGCATCTGTTTGAACGATGCTTTTTCCATCTGTAGGAATTTGCAGAGCAGGAAGATCATTNGTAAATTGTAATTGACAACTCCGAGAAATTGTTTAACTTCCTTTTTTTGTCAAATTTTCATCTGAAAATTTAAGAACTTCTTGACCAACATGAGGTTGTAATGAATATTGGTCATCTTTAATGTGCATTCCCAAAAAATCAGCTTCCTTGACACCAATCACCATTTTCTTCTGAGAGAGCATGATACCATAATGCTTAACAAGATCTGTAAATCTAGAAAACAAATTGGTGTGAGAGTCTCCATCTTCAGAGAATAATAAGATATCATCAATATACACCAAAGCTTTATCCAATAATGGATCAAATATTCTTGTCATTGCTTTTTGAAAGATAGAAAGGGCAGTTTTTAAACCAAAGGGCATCATCGTCCACTGGTAATGATGGTTTGGAATACAAAAATCTGTTTTGTGCCTTTCTTCAACTTTAATTCCCAGTTGCCAAAAACCCGCCTTAAGACTAAACTTTGAGAAAACCTTTGCGCGTGACAGGTTTGCAAACATTGTTTTCCTGTCTGGAAGAGAAAACTTATTATTTGCAAGAAAAGCATTCAACGGCTTGTAATCAATAACCAATCTGAGTTTTCCTCGAACTTGT